GGGGGGGGGGGGGGGGGCACATGGCCTCAACAGACCCCCTTCACCAGCGGAGCTGTTTGTTTTTATAAGAACACATCCGCACGGAGACGGTGCTGGAAATACTGGGATTCATGTTACAGTGAAACCCTCGTGGTGGCTGTTTGGACTGAGAGAGACGTACCTGCAGCTCCAGACCCGTTTGGACCTGAGCTCTCATTCAGAACCAGGACCAGACCTTCACCTGAAACATCTGTAGTTTAGTCCAGAAGTGTTGCAGCTTCTGCAAGCCACCTTTTCTTTCAGAAACTGGATTAAAGTTTTATGGATAACAGATGATCACACCCTGCTGATCCTGGTGTATACTGGTGTATACTGGTGTATGCTGTTGTATACTGGTGTATACTGGTGTATATGCCTCCAGTGTTCTGGAGCAACAGCAGGCGATGGAGAGTTCAAGACCAAACATTTGTCCGATCTAGACCTCAAAGTTCATGCTCAATAATCCAGTCAGCTCCTCTGGACTGTTTATTTTTGTTGAAACATTTTCCATCCAAAGGACTTCTTCAGTCCGAGGAGCCACAACAAGCTCAGTCTTAGAAACAGCGCCTTCACATAGTGGGCCAAGTTTGATGTTGCTCAGATGGTTTCTGGAGTCCGCCCTCTCCCCCGTCGACTCCTCTGAGGCAGCCATGACCAGTGGCGTCCAGTCTGGAGTTGATGGTTTGGACGTGCGTTTTAAAAAAGTCCAATATTTATTTGAAAGTTTCTTCTAACTGGTTCCACAGGTGTTGGAGGACGCGCTTCTCAAGTTTAAAAGAACTCAAAAACAGTCCAAGGTTCTCGACAGTGAAGGAACACGTGTGCCGAGGCCCCCCCCCGACAGGAGACTGGTTTTATAAAACCATGGTTCCAGTTCCGGGTCGGACGGTTCTGACGGACAGGAGGTGCAGAGGAGCAGACGTTCCGTCAGACAGAAATCAGGGTGTCGTCAGCGTATCGATGGTTTCTGACCCGACCCCTGCGTCAAACCTTCTGACCCAGTGTTAGTCATCAAATTCTAACTGGTGACCAGTAATTGTTTGTAAAAACCAGTAGTTTCATGTTTTTATTAATCCACGGTGGAAAACGAACGGCTCAGAATGTGTGGACGTAAACATCCGCCTGACACCGAGCAGGAAACCCGGCGGTCTTCAGGTGCTGCTCGTGTCCAGACGAGCTCCGTCACCGTTTCCTGTTTGTCTCGCGCTCGTGCACCGAGCGCAGCCCAACGACCCGCTTCCTCCCCCATAAGAGATCTGAGAGGCCCGAGGAGGACCGTGGATTATTCAGTGACACCGCTGAGTTCCCAGAGTCCTCCATGGAACATTTAGTTTTATAAATAGATGAAGTTCTGGACCTGCCGGCCCGGCTCCACAGAGAAGCTGCTCTGAAGGTTATTAATGCTCGTTCTGCCTCGGCAACTGGGCACGAAGGCATGTCGTGGTAAACGAGAGCGTTCCTCGAGTCCGACTCGCCGGCCGCTCGGTGAGACGTGGAGGACTCGGCCCGGCTGCAGGGGCTGGGGGAGAGGGGGGCTGCAGGGGCTGGGGGGCTGGGGGAGGGGGGCCTGGGGGGGCGCAGCATTAACGGCAGAGCCGGCTGGCTGGGGTGGGATTGTGCAATCGTATTTGCAAACAACACTTGTGCTTTTTATTCTTAGCGCCTCGTCGCGCCGGTTATTTTTACCTGTCGTGACGTCCGAGAGGAGGGGAGCGACAGAAACAGCTAAAATTAGCCGGGTCGGAACCGTTTGGCTGGTGGCTGGGTGAATGGACCCCCCCCCTGTGTTTACCTTAAAACATTGAGAACAGTTACAAAACAAACGATAAACAACCCGTGACAGAAATAGAGACTTTGTTCAGGCTGTTCGTTGTGAACGACTCTCAGCTACTACCAGCGTCAGTCTCTGAAGAGTCCGAGTGTTTTTTACGTTCAGCGAGCTGAGACTTGTTGACGTTCGTCCAACCAACACTTTGCACGAGCTTCATCACACCTGCCTGCTGCTTCATGAGATATTTTACTAACAGACACACACAGAGGGCGACAGACAGCGTCCCCCGCCGTAAAACAGATTATAACATTTTAACAAATAATATGTTTCAGTGCGTGTGTGTGTGTGTGTGTGTGTGTGTGTGTGTGTGTGTGTGTGTGTGTGTGTGTGT